TATTATTATTATTATTATTATTATTATTATTATTATTATTATTATTATTATTATTATTATTATTAATTATTATTATTATTATTATTATTATTATTATTATTATTATTATTATTATTATTATTATTATTTATTATTATTATTATTATTATTATTATTATTATTATTATTATTATTATTATTATTATTATTATTATTATTATTATTATTATTATTATTATTATTATTATTATTATTATTATTAATTATTATTATTATTATTATTATTATTATTATATTATTATTATTATTATTATTATTATTATTATTATTATTATTATTATTATTATTATTATTATTATTATTATTATTATTATTATTATTATTATTATTATTATTATTATTATTATTATTATTATTATTATTATTATTATTATTATTATTATTATTATTATTATTATTATTATTATTATTATTATTATTATTATTATTATTATTATTATTATTATTATTATTATTATTATTATTATTATTATTATTATTATTATTATTAATTATTATTATTATTATTATTATTATTATTATTATTATTATTATTATTATTATTATTATTATTATTATTATTATTATTATTATTATTATTATTATTATTATTATTATTATTATTATTATTATTATTATTATTATTATTATTATTATTATTATTATTATTATTAATTATTATTATTATTATTATTATTATTTATTATTATTATTATTATTATTATTATTATTATTATTATTATTATTATTATTATTATTATTATTATTATTATTATTATTATTATTATTATTATTATTATTATTATTATTATTATTATTATTATTATTATTATTATTATTATTTATTATTATTATTATTATTATTATTATTATTATTATTATTATTATTATTATTTATATTTAACAACATAATAAAACGTGTCCTGCGTTTAGTAAGTAATAATATTTCTAGATGTTTATGTAGCAACCAGATAGGTGAAGATTTCAAAAAAAACATTAGTCATAAACACATGATAAATATTATATTCATGATGAAAACACGGAAGCTAACCTTCAATTAACACTAAATGAAACTCAAAACACTATTATAATGAGAATTGAGAATATTATCTAAAAACAGTTAATCACAAATACAAAATCCCGCCCAAAACAAATATCCTACTTATTGGTGACAACTGACAGGGGCGCGAAAATTAATTTGAATCGCGAATAATTTTCCTTATCTGTATACAGAAACAAAAAATAAAAATAGCCTAGATAGGATTTTTTTAGGCAACCCATTTTGTGGTATATTTATTAACATACAGTATGGTTCAAATGAAAGGAATAAATTCATTATAATGGAAGTAGTTGGTTTTTCGAAAAAATGCTCGGACAGGTCAATTTTGTTTACTTAAAGCGCAATTTTTTAAATAGAATTCAATTTCTCCCCCACCTCCCATTTTTGGGCAGTGACGTCATTGACACTTTTTTTAAATAGTAACCCCATTTTTTTTTCTTGATTTTGATAGATCTTGCAATTTCCTACTCGGAAACATAATATTTGAAATATCTTACATAACAATTTCTTTTTAATAAAAGTCATTTAAAGATCAGACACATAAATTTTATTTTGAGAACACAATAAATGAATAAAAGAAAATTATTTGTAATTAAGTGCTTAATCTAACAAAATAATAATAATAAAAAAGAATTTGTGAAATTGTCATTAAATTCTTTATTATTATTATTAATTATTATTATTAGTATTATTTTTTAGATTAAGCACTTAATTACAAATAATTAGGTTTCTATTCATTTATTGTGTTCTCAAAATAAAATAAAATTTATGTGTCTGATCTTTTAATGACTTTTATTCAAAAAAAAATTGTTATGTAAGTTATTTTAAATATTATGTTTCCGAGTAGGAAATTGCAAGATCTATTAAAATCAAGAAAAAAAAATTGGGGTTACTATTTAAAAAAATTGTCAATGACGTCACTGCCCAAAAATGGGAAGTGGGTGAAAATTGAATTCTATTTAAAAAATTGCGCTTTAATTAAACAAAATTGACCTGTCCGAGCATTTTTTCGAAAAACCAACTACTTCCATTATAATGAATTTATTCCTTTCATTTGAACCATACTGTACTAGCTTTTGCCTGCGGCTTTGCACGCGTGGTGTCGTGTTTATAATTTAAAAAAATGAATAAATTTTAATTTTTATTAATTCTTATTAATTTTGATATTTTTAATAATTTTTATTAATTTAATTTTTAATAATTTATTTTAATTTTTATTTATTTTCATTTATTTTTATTTGTTTGTTTTTATTTATTTTTTATTTGTTTTTATTTATTTATTTTATTTGCTTTTATTTATTTTTCCTCCTTAAAATGTGAAAATCCAAAGTAGCTACAATTCCAATTTTCAAATTGCTACAATTAAAAAAAAACCGAAAGTCTAATTCAAACTTTCACCTTCCATTTCCTCCCTTTATATGTAAAATCCAAATACTTTAAAACATGTCTAATTATTTATTAGGAGTACCTACAATTCCAATTTTCAAGTTGTTACCATACAAACTTTCACTCCCTATTTGCCCAATTCTCCCCATTTTCCTTCCTCATTTCGCCTCTTACCCCCATTTTCCCTCTTTCCTCTCTTAAAATATGAAAATCCAAAAACCTGAAACACACTATTATTTATTTGTGATGAGTAGCTATAATTTCAATTTTTAAGTTCCTGTCTATAACAAAATCGAAACTTCCTCGCAAACTTTTAACCCCCGCTTTTCTCCCTTAAAATGTGAAAAATCAAAAACCCTAAAACACGTCAAAATTCAAATACTTTGAAACATGTCCATTTATTTATGAAGAGTACCTACAGTTCCAATTTTCAAGTTCCTAACATACATACTTTCACGCCCCACACATTTCCCCCATTTTCCTTTTTCCCTCATAAAACATGAAAATCCAAAAACCTGAAACACACCATTATTTACTTGTGATCACTAGCTATAATTCCAATTTTTAAGCTCCTACCTATAAAAAAATCGATGCTTCCATGCAAACTTTTAACCCCTGAAACACGTCATTATTCACTTATGCTCAGTAGCAGTATTTCAAATTTTTATGTTTCACTACCACTATGCAAAAAATTATGTACGATCCCTTGCTCTGTGAAAAACAAAAACAAATCGATCCCACGGGACCGTACATTTTTTCGGGATAAAAAGTAGCATATGTGCTATTCCAGACAAAAATCTATATTTGTGCCAAATTTCATCGGGTAAGCCACGGTCATCTTTATAATGGGCAATGGGTAAGCAGATGAGCGACGGTCGACCCTACTTCGTATCCTCTAATACCTATGTTTAATCACACACAAGTTGTATTTAAAAAACTTTTTGATTTTTTTCGTTTATTTACGTAAATTTGTAAACAAAATGTATTATTACTGTGGTAAATTATGGGTTTATTATTATAGTATATACAGGGTGTCGCCGGATGACTGCAAAAATACGAAAGCCTTTTTTATTTTCAACTTTTAAAGAAATGTTATTTTTCATGAATGGTTTTGTTTCAAAAATAATAATTCACTAAAGATATTCAATTTCCGTTTGGATTTTTTTGTGTTTACGCCCTTCGGATCTCTTCCTAATCCGTCTGTATCCTGGCGACACTGCAGCTTATTGTAACATCATTTGAAGGTTCTACTACTTTCCGATTCACAATCATTCATTCCACGTCGTCGATGGTTAAACGCTAGTCCCATGGTGGAACATCTCAACAATCACTCATCCACGACGTGACCGGAGAGAGCACTGCTTAACTGTTGCGTGATTATGGATGTTCACTAATCTCGCGGCTAGCCTCTCCACCTCTTGGATTATTATTAGTTTTGAAACAAGCAAAAACTTTTATGAAGAATCTTTTTTCGAAAAGGTAAAAATAAAAATGTTGTTGAAGAACCTTTAACATATATTTAAAACACAGAACAAAATATATTTGAATTAAAACATACAACCCAAGCTGCCCCTGGCACGACGTGTAAGTGGAAAGCAACTGAGGGGTATAGTTTCAAAGTGTACAATCTCCATATTTTATAAAAAATAAGATAAGATGTCGCCTTACATACAATTTGTAGCCCTGAATCGAAATAATTAATAATTTCTGTTCAAAACAGATAATGTCCAACGAATTTTGACGGAAAAAAATTAGGCTTAAATTCAAAACGTACAATCTCCGTTGACATGTAAATTTCAAACAGTACAATCTCCAATCCGATTTTAAAAATCAAAGTGTACAATCTCCAATGGGTTTTTGTTGTTAATTTTGAATTATTTCAAAGCGTGAAAACTCGTGTACAGACTTGTTAATAATATTTCGTGATAAAACCCGTCTTATTTTACGTTTCTTAGGTTGCATGTGATTCGTGAAGTATTAAAGTCTGTTTACTAGTTTTTTCCAATTTTTCACGAGTTTTTTAAAGTAATAATGGAGGGCAACGTGAAAAAATAGGTAAGTTTGATAATAAGGTTTTTGTATATTTTACTGTAAAGATGAGGTTGTTTTAGATATAGTCCACATTCACTTCCGATTTATCCGAAATGTGGACATAAAACTGGTGCTTTTCAATGTACCTTACTGACAATGGGAGAAATAAGTTTTACTCAAAATTTTATGAGATAAAAGAGAAAATAATTCAAGATAATTTTTTGCTTAAATATTGCAATACATTTCCGATACAGCGTAAACGCCCGAAAAATTCTAAGAATGTTTCAATAAAATTTCAAACACGGTTTTATATCTTGACAAAACAAAAAAAAAAATGTTGGCTGTGTGCAAGAAAGCTTTCATAGATGTTTTGGGTACAACACGGAGACGAATTAACACAGTTACAAAGAACTTTGATCAAACTTCTGAACTGCAAAGGAAAATCGTGTAGGCGATAGAAAACTGAAAAATTACAAGTCGAAGAAAAATTCTGTTGTGGATTTTATTAACAAATTTCATGTAATTGAATCTCATTATTGCAAATATAAAGTCAACGTTGATAATGTATGTGAAGGTAAATGAAAACGTTCCAGTAAAAGAAAGCTATTTCAGGAATATTTTTATTACAAAATACAACCTTGGTTTTGGTTCTCCTAGAACCGATGTTTGTTCGACATGCTTACAGCTAACAGAGAAAATAAAAGCTTGTTCTGATAAGGATGTCAAAGCCAACTTAGTAATCCAGAGAAGGGTACATTCATTGATATCTAAAGCATTTTTTCGCTTGTTAAGAGAACAGGATGAAGGAATCGAAATTTTTTCGTTTGACTGCCAGAAAAATCAAGTATTATCTAGGATTCCGGATCAACAGGCCTATTATTCAAGGCAATTTTAAATTTACAATTTCACCGTTGTATAGGGTACTTCTAAAAGTAATTTAAATCCATTTACTGTCAGTTCTTTCTAATGGGCCGAAAACGAGTACAAGAAGGGTTCGAACGAGATTGCCTCCTGCATTTATCACATTCTTCAGTCGACTGATTTTGGAGACGACATTCACACAATCCGGCTCATGTGTGATGTATGCGGAGGCCAGAACAAAAATACCTCACTCATATCTATGTGTTGTTACTGGTTTTCTAGACAAGATAAAATTTTAAAAAATGAGGTGGTATTCCAAGTTAGAGGACACTCCTTTATGCCCCCAGACAGGGTTTTTGGGCATATTGAAAAGACTATTAAAAAAAAAGAAATAATTCTGGAACCGGAGCAGGGCCGGATTTACCATTACAGCGCCCCTTGGCCTGAATAAATTTGGCGCCTTCCCCCCTTCCATCATACACTGATAGAAGGATTTTGTTGTCTGAAGTAAAATTTATTGATAGTTATTAAATATCTCATTTTGCACCATGTTCAAATGAATACTTATTAACAGCAAACTAATCATTTATTTAAAGATAATTCTTTGATTATTTATAATATTAAATATTAATTACCTTTTCCAATTTTGTTTTTGTGTTAGCACTACAGGTTTCGCCCCTTGGTGTAAATAATATTTAATATTACAAGAAACCTCAATCGAATTCAGGGCCAACCAAATGAAAATAATAATTCTTTGAGCCAAGTGAACAATCAGTTTTATGTAGAAATAAAAACTACAACTATACAATACATAAAATGTGAACAATACAGATATATAAAACCTTATAAAGCCTTCCTTCTTGCTTTCTTTCGAGCAAATTTGTCTATGATGTCATCGTAGGAAATCGATTGAGTTAGTCTCCCCTCGATGGCGAGCAGGGCTAGTGATGTCAATCTGTCGTAGCTAGTTGTGGATCTCAGGTAGTTCTTCACACGACGAAGGGTGGAAAAGGATCTTTCTGCTGAACAGTTAGTGGCTGCAGCACTAAGAACCATTCTTAACGCAATGGCAGGGTAGACATCTACCATGTCAAAATTATACAAAACCTTGCTAATTTCAATCATACTCGTTCTGGTATTTTCGTTTTCAGTGTTTTTCAACAAAAATACTTTTAAATGTAAACACTCGTCCACAACAACAGGCGTAAGATCTTCGGGATACGCACTCAATAGTTCTCTTACACATTTGGTGATATCAGATGCCTCAAGACTTTTGATAGTTTCAAGAAAACCAAACCTATTGTGAAGATCAGAATATTTACACTCACGTTTCTTAATTTCGGAGTATAGGGAATCCAATATGCAGTTAAAAGTGTTTACACGAAAGTTCTCCGACCCTGTAAATTGATCATCACTGCTAGGATCACCATATTCACCAAACTTAGTAAGTACCTTCCTTTTGCGCCGATTATCAGCCATATACTCTCTCCTACACTTCTCTTTCGCTGATCGTTCCAGGTCATCAAAGTTGTTCCTTACTTCTTGAAGAAAACTACACAAAGAGTCGTAATAGGCAACTATTTTCTCTAGCTCTGTGGTTTCGTATTGCAGCTTTACATTTACTTTATTAAACCTTTCCAGAATTGAGCCCCACAGTGCTGCCATAATGGTTGTCTCAAGGGAACTTAAAAATTTGACAAAATGAGCAAAATTCTGATTTTTATGAAAGTTGTTGAACTAAAAGTTGTTTGCGATATTGATCTCTATAATTTTTGTTTATACACGATTTTTCTAAAATGGACCGTAATGGAAAAATTGTAGGAAAAGTGCTAAATTTAATTTTTTTTAGTATTTTCGTTTTCAATGAATATCTATAGAAAAATGTTTCGAGGTAGATATATGTGGAAAATGTATATATTTAGTTTATCCTCTAAACATTTATAGAGGTGCTGCAATAGTTTGTACAAAATAACCGGATAGGAAAGTCATGTGTTGGACACATCAGATTTTTTTTTAAATGTAAACTAAAAAAAAATTGATTTCGATTTTTTTTTATGACAGGGCGCCCCTAGGCCCGGGCCTAGTGGTAAATCCATGCCTGAACCGGAGGAATATCTGGATATATTTTAGAAGTATGGTACTGTTCTTAGGCTTGGAGAAGTAGTTGAAATATACGATTGACGAAATGAAACTAGCAAGTACATTAAGCCTGCAGGCCAATGGCATTTGGCTTTCTCAAAAAGGAAGAGAATGATTTTAACAAAAAGCTCTAAAGGCATAGTACTAATCCGCGGCGAAACAGCCTATAATTCGGATTCTGGTATGGGAAAACCAGTAACAAAAACGACTAAGAGTATTGAAAATATGAAACCTACACAAATTCCGAAACAAAATGTGATCAACAACAACAAAAAGGTTGATGTTAATAATTTATTGGTGTGTCATTTCGGAGATGAGTGGAAAAATGATGAAGTTTCTACAAATTCGTCGTAGAAGAGGACACGATTACAGAAAACGAAACAGTCGAGGATGAAACGACTCTGTGTGAGAATATCGAAGAGGAAGTGGAACTTTCTATTTAACAGCTTTTGATTTTTTGTGAGCTCAACCCACAATTTATTTCTTCTTTTAATTTTTTTTGACTAAATTTAATTTTTTTTTTCAATTTTTTATAAAAAATTAATGAAAAATATTAGTTATTTTAAAAATGAACAAACTCAAATTGTTATTTTCATAACGTACAATCTCCAAATATTTTTTTCAAAATAACTTTGATGTTTTTAAAAATTTTAAGAAAAAAATTAATATAATAAATTTTAGATGTGATACAAATACAATAAAAAAACACCTTGTTTGTATTTAAGAAATTATTGGATTTTTTCATCTACTGAGAATTTAGGAAACATGGAGATTGTACACTTTGAAACTATACCCCTCAACTACTCCCTACCAATGTTTTTGCTTTTATTAGTCCATCTGGGACAACCTGTATAGAAACCAATTTTAGGTTTTAGAACCTTTATATTAAACAATAAGCATTTAAGTATAGTAACCTTTTTTAGCTCCTTAAGTATATATTCTACATTTTTATCATTTTCTGTGGTTTATCTGAAGGAAAACAGTTTTCATTCGATTCACTACATAATAGAGATTAATTTTCTTTTTAGGGGAAGTGGAGTAGGCAAAAAATTATTTACCACTACCATGGAAAAAGGGTATGAACTTGGTTGTAAAGTTGCCTTCTTTTTTGTGATGCAATGGAATCCCGCCGTCAAATTTTACAAAGAATTGGGTGCTGTTAATCTAACGGAAAATGAGAATTATCACATTTTTAAGCTGAAATCAGATAATTTTAACAAAATATGCTCCAACTAATTTTTTTTTATATTCACCTACTTATAAAATCTCCATTATTTACAATAATTCATTACAATAACAATAATTTACAATTCTTCAAAGAATTATTTAATATGTATAGATTGAAATATATTTTGTCCCTAACACTTGTTGCTTCCTTTTCTCGCTCCTTTCCATACTAATTACCCATGGACGTTATTATGACAATTTAGCGAACATGGGTTATTGGTAGTTGTCATTTTTTGCAACTCACAGTGGCGGATTTTTCCAAAAACTTGGCCAAAATACAAAAAATGAAATTACGATATGTAATTGCAATACATTCGTAAATGATAGTATTAATATCCCTCTTCACTGGACAATAATTCTTACCAGAATATATACAGCGCCAACTGCTTAAACTTCAAGTATTTAAAAGAAAATAATTGTGTTGATAATTCCTTTAAAATTGTTGTTTTTTTATTTGTTTCTGTGTTACTTGTTTTAATAATATAATTATTTTAATGATATGGATTCTGTAGCTGGAGGTATGAGCAAAGTTTTTTTTTATTTATATTAACATTTTTGACTACTTGTCAAATATGAACTAAGTTTAATGAAGTAGCTGTCATAGTTTCTAGTTGATCCACATTTATTTATTTATTTTGTGTAGACCAATGATAATGATTTCCGTCATATTAATGTAATTATCTTATATAATGGACTGTCCGGCAATACGACAAACAGACAAATTTTGCGAATACTTGCGAATCACAATACAAATGTCACTAATATGTATAACGAACGACCGCATTCCTTTTTATTATTTACCATTGACACAAAGTACGTACTTTTGGTATAGTTCAAAATTACAACTTCAAGATTATGATTGACTTTCTCGTTTTGGAGGACTCGGAGTATGAAAAGCATTATTAGTTTTTGTGGAGATTTGAGCGTAGAAAGGGGGTTTTCAAAAGGGGTTCAACACAAAAAAATATGTATGTAAAAAATCAATTGATAAGTAAATTATTTTTTTGAAATAATATTGAGAAAAATAATCTTGATTGTTTTGAAAAACATAAAGCTCATTGGTGTACGTTAAAAGTTACTTTTGGAAATTAAAAAATTTTAAAAATAATTAAAAAATACTATTTAATTTCGACTAAATTTAGATCACAGATTTATTCAAGAAACTTTAAAATATGAAAATCATTGATTTATATTAAGGGTAATAAGTTTGGGTAGTAAAAATTAAAAAAGCTTTGAATTTCTCCATAATTAACAGGTATAAATATTTAGTTGCGTTATTCTTTATTTGGTCAAATTATAAAATTTGCTGGTGTTCGTAACGGAATTATTGGGGATTGACGAAAAATTAAGTAATAAATATTGTTTTTTTTAGGTTCTAGGAATCAACATATTATTATTTCTAAGCGGGAATTGTTTACGGGTATAAGAAATAGTTTTTAAAGGAAATTTGAGGACAAGTGTACTTCTATTCGAGAATATGTCCGTACTAAATCTAATAATGACACATTACCTACTGAACCAATAGATATTCTTAATTATTTTATGTATAAATATAAATCAAGATGGGAAGCTTGTGGAAGAAAATTGGATTATTTTTTAATTAAAAATGACGAATGGTTGAATGAGAATATTTATATCACGTGAATGCACATCAAATAACACCTAGATATTTTAAAGGAAGACGTCAACTAGAATTTGAAGAAAGCAGTGAAAGATCTAAAAGGCGGAAAACTGAGGATTTGAGAGAAACCAAAAATGTATTGGAACTGGCTTATGCTACCCACATGAGTCTTCGAGCACAAGGAAATATTGATGCAGCAACTGTGGTTAAGGATGCGGTTTTTTCAACGCCTAAACGAGCTCAAACAATTAGGAAAGCCTATAAGGATTCTATGCTGAAAACACAACCATTTTCTAATGAAAAAGCTTTATCTATTCTGGTGGATGCAAAACTCACTAAATTTCAGTATAACATAATTAGATTGGCAGCAAAAGAACATAATTGTAAGTTATTTCCTGCATATGAAAATATTACGAAAGCAGAAAAGTTATGTTTACCAGAAAATATTAATGTAACGGAAACAACTGCTGAAGTTAAGTTGCAAAGTTTACTAGATCATACCATAAGACGAATTGCACAAGTTCAGTGTGAGGTTCTAAACACAACTTTAGATGATCTTGACAACATAGTCCTTATTTCTAAGTGGGGATGTGATGGTAGTTCAGGACAATCACAATATAAACAGGTTTTTACAAGCGATGGAAGTACCGACGAACATATTTTTTTGACATCTATGGTACCTATACAATTAAAAACTAATAAAAATAAAATTCTTTGGCAAAATCCACGTACGTCGTCTTCCCGATTTTGTCGTCCAATTCGTCTTCAGTTTATTAAAGAAGATGTTAATTACACCAAACTGGAAATGGCTTTCGTAGAAAATCAAATAAAAACTCTTGTGCCTACTTCCATTATAATTAACAACAAAATAGTTAATGTGGAGCATAAACTTTTATTTACTATGGTAGATGGTAAAGTTTGTAATGCTATTACAAACACAAAATCTGCTCAAAGATGTTACCTTTGTGGAGCCACATCAAAAGAATTTAATAACATAGAAGTTCTTTTAAAAAAAGATATAATTGAAGAACATCTAAGATTCGGAATATCTACATTACATGCGTGGATTAGATTTTTTGGGTGCTTACTGCATTTGTCCTACAAGAAAAATGTAAAAAAATGGCAAATACGTTCGCCCGAAGACAAAAAAATGGTAGAGGAAGAAAAGAAAATTCAAACTGAATTCCGTTCAAAACTTGGATTATTAGTGGACAAGCCAAAACAGGGATATGGCAGCTCAAATGACGGAAATCATCAGTTTCTGCCGAAATTACAGGTATTGATGAAGAATTAATACATAAATTTCACGTAATTTTGTCAGCAATATCAAGTGGATATGAAATAAAAATAGAAAATTTTAAGGAATATGCTATAGATACGGCAAAATATTTCGTAAAAAAATATACCTGGTATTATATGCCTACCTCCGTACACAAGATTTTGGTGCATGCACCTAAAGTTATTTCTTCCTACATCTTGCTGATAGGAATGTTAAGAAGAGGCTCAAGAAGCAAGAAATAAGGACATTATATTCGATAAAGAGAAATTTTGTGAAATAATGAATGACTCGAGTAGTGATAACGATGATAGTGGTCAATATAATGGTGACGAATAATGAAGATTAATTTCACTCTTTTGCATTGAAAAAAATTACAAATAAAATTTTTCTTTTGTGTACCTATATTTAATATTTATTTCAACGTGCTCCAATCTCCCCCATACCTTAAATCAGCAAAATATATTACTTTAACTATAGATACTATATTCAATTTTCATTTTGTACCAGTTTTAGAGAAAATAATTTCAACAGCAACGAATTTTTAATTTTGGCCAAGCATTTTTAAATTTCGGCCACTGTGCAACTGTTTGAATTTCATTTTGTCTTATTCTCTGAAATTTATTTTTTCTTTATATTTTTTTTTTTGTTCTAGTCGGTGGCGACTAACATACAATTTAATTTTAATTTCTTAAAACCAGGGTACTTAATTCGAATATTTTATTTCAATTTTATTAATATAAAAAATCATTTAAATGCTATAAAAATGTACAACTATTTTAATATATGTCTATCTGAATACATTGTTATTAAACCAATAAATAAATGTTACTTAATTTTCTTTATCTTATAAAAAAAAACCCAAAATAAGCTTCTATAAAAATTTACAATCTAGTTTTAAGTAAATAAAATGGCTCCCCATTATTTTAACCAATGTCTAAGAAATATACTTCAAATAATAAAAACTTTGCTATAATGAACTAAATTGACAAATGGCATTTGACATTAGTGACAGATTTTGTTTTTCAATTTATGTTGGTAAAGTTACAGCTACATTATATCAATTTATTTCAAAAAGCACATTGTGGCCTCCAGTCTCCTACTTTTTTACTGTTCATCTTTATCTTTAGCACCATGTTTCAAAATACGAGTAAACTCGACGTAATCGAACAATCCACTTTTAATAGGAGCTTCCCTGTACATCTCATCTACCTCATCGTCAGTAAATCTATCTCCCATCGAAGTTAGGAGTTCTCTGAGACGTTCTTCATTAATGACACCATTGTTATCTTCATCAAAGCAACCAAAAGCATTTTTAATGACGTCCTCGGGATCTGTTCCTTGAAGGCGTTCACCAAATAGGGTTAGAAACATGGTAAAATTGATGGGTCCAGGGGCTTCGTTCATCATGCCGTCCAGATAGTCATCAGTGGGGTTTTTACCTGTAAACAAAATTGTATTACAGATTTGAATATAAAAAAAAACTGATGAATATTTTCATTTTTAATCTTGTAGATGTAGATCTCCTCTGAAAACAAAATGCATAAATAATAAAAAATATCTATAATATATGAAAAAAGAAACACCCTCCCAAATTTTTGTTTCTAAAAATTGGAAAATAAAGTCAGGTATTTAAAGTCTGAAGAGCTACGTTTCTCTTTAGACATTTGGCAAAGGTGTAAGATTGATTCTTAGGAATTCATCCGTTCCGTTCAAGTTCGGTAATCGGAAAATCGCTTCCATCCTGTTTTAAGAGAAAGGGAGAGGGATTCCAGAATAGATCGGATCAATTCATGAACGCTGCATTTGTATCAGTTGTCATTTGCATGTTGTTTTGTTCTAACCTAATTGTCTTTTGTGTTTAATTTAGAGAAATATATTGAAGTGATCTTCACAACAGTATTTAATACTTTTTATAAAGTCAGTCTGAAACACATATAGCACAAAATTAAGTATTAAAAATTAAAAAAAAAACCGACTTCAAAAATGTTCAAATGCCATCACCACATCTTAACCAAATTTATATGGGACCATTCCTGAGGTACCCCCTTTCTAACAAAAAAGAACCATTGAAATTGGACACCGTGTTAAAGAATTATTGCTGAACATACCTACATAAAAAAAAAACAAAAAAAATATTGCGACGAATTGAGAACCTCCTCCTTTTTTGAAGTCGGTTTAAAATGTATTAAGGGATATGAGGAAAGTTCTAAGAGGAATGAAACAAAAATCTAGGACAAAGACAAAACAAAAAAAAACGTTTTAATTATCTTATTTGTCAAGCATTGGAGTATTATACAGTTTCTCCACAAATATTTAAAAAACTATTTTTAGTTTCCTGATGCTCCCGAAAATCACTAATATTGAGTTACAACCTTCTTCGATGAGAGTTACAAAATACATGAGAGCCTACTTTTAAAATTGAAACATCTGGGAAAAATTTACTTAATTGGATTGAATGCTTTTTAATAGGCAATTCTGTGTCGAGAGTTAATGGGAAAGGTAAAGTATCAAGAAATCATCTAGATATCAGTGGAAATCATAAAGAACGTAAGTCTTAGAGGTAACCTGATAGAAACACACAAATGGATTAATCTGAATTGCTATTGTAATAGTATATTACATACAGGGCCGTCGAGAGCCAAGTGGGGATCCGGGACAATTTTCTAGGTGGGGCCCCCCAACAATAAAAAAAAACAATAAAAAACACGCCTATGCCATCCCCCCCTGGAACCGCCCTTGATTACAGCCGAGTGTCAAGGTAGATTAGATAGGTATGAAGCATCGAGCTAAGCTACAGATGTGAGGCTTGAGTGAGTTCCCCCAAGGTATGTATACGTTTTAACTCACAATCTTCTATTTTATGTAAGTTTCAATAATAACATTTGTATAAATTTCTATCAATATTTCAAATAAAAAATAACGAAGATACCTGTGAGACCTTTGTTAGGCAATAAAACAAGTTGATTGAATCTGACAATTAGATAATTATTTTGCCAGTTACATATTGAATTTCATTTTCAATAAAAAAAAATATTTGTTTACAGTACGCTATGGATACATAAAGTTCTAAATGGTACATTTAAAATATCAATTAAAAATAAAAAAGAAATTAATAAAATTGTCACAGTATAAAAATGAAGTCAATAGTGTAATGCACGTTGATGCTTTAAAGAAAACAAAAAATATCATAATTTGAAAGATACTTATTGTAATTGGACATCAGTCGGTCTACAAATAAATTCTGTCCATAGTTAGTTCTATGAGCATTTACATAAAATAGTTTAATCTGCTTAGTAAGTCTGGCAAGAACAAGGAATCTAATAAAATGTACCAGGCTGTCACTATCAATCAAACTGTTCAATAACAATATAGGAAAACAAGCGATGCTTCTGGACGTCTGCATTCTAAAGTCTTAAGTCCACACAACAGAATACTGGTTTGGTAATATTTTGCGATGGAAGCCTATGTTTATATAGTAGATACTTCGAAAATTTATTTTGCACTCTTTCTAATTTATCAATATGACAATTATAGTTAGGTGCCCAAATCACTGAGTAGTATTCTAAAATGCATCTAACTAAGCAGTTGTAGAGACTCTTCAGAGCTGCCGTGTTATAAATGTGCTTGGTGTTTCTTTTGACAAAGTCCAGCAGTCGAAAAGTTCTATTTACAATTTCTTCCAAATGAGGAATAAACGATATGTCCCTGTCAAAAATAACACCAAGATCATTTATAGTTTCGTTCAGAACCAGCAATGACATAATCATGAACAATGATCTCACTTGGGTTCCGGGAAATAACGGGGCACCGGGTAACGAGATTGCAGATAGTCTTGCAAGGAAAGGGACTCAAACACCCTTTGTAGGACCTGAGCCGTTCTGCGGTATCAGCAGTAATATAATATTAGGAGAGACTAAAAAAGGCTAGATAATGAAACAGGGATCCTTACCGGGCATTGCCGACTAAAAGGACACCTTAGTAAACTGAGAGTAGTAGAGGATAGTGAATGCAGATTCTTTAAGGAAGAGGACGAAACCTCCATTCACATTTTAACTGAATGTGTAGCACTCCAGAATCCAAGGTCACTATATCTAGGAGGATATCAAATAGAAGATGGAGATTTACCTAACTTGAAGTCACTCCAAATCCTACACTTCCTTGAGAAAATAGGATTGGAATGGTCGTTATAGGCATGGAGACATTGTGCATTAGCAACAGAAGGGGGCACAATATATCTTTTAGGTCGCAGTGTATTAACGCCCCATTCTCAACATAACATAAAATGCACAATGATATTAGATGTTTTATTGAACCTTACGACTTTACATTTATTGATATTCAGTTTAAACAAGTTATCGTTGCACCATTGAACCAAATTGCTGAGATCTGATTGTAAGTGATTGTTTGAAAGGTCATTGATGATAGAAATTTTTTTTAGGTCATCTGCATATAGGAGGCAACTGGAGTTATTAAAACAAGTTGTTCCCAAATATGAAGGAATCTAATGGAATTCCTGTTTATAAAAATAAGGGATCTGCATCTAATATAGAAAATTATCGTTTAATCTGTAAATCTAGTCAAATAACTAAAATAAATGAGTCAGCATACTATATTAGACTCACTAATTACCTTGAAAGTTTTAATATGTTGCCAGGTACTCAAAATGGATTTAGAAAAAATAAGTCAACATCTACTGCATTTGCAGCTTGCCTAATGTAATGATGGTTATTAATACACGAGCATTAACCGGGATACGAAACGAGCCAAAGGCGAGTTTCGTATGGTTTATGCGAGTGTTTTAATAACCATTACATGAGAGTTGCATACGCTATTTTTTCTACACCCGATAAATAATCAAGACCTATAAATATTATATTTATATTGGTATTGAACACAATAACAGTAATTACTCGTATTTCTATAAAAAATTCTACAAAATTGTAATTAATGGTATTACTTCAGGTATTGGTATTTCCCTAGATTTTTGCGGTAAAATATTTTGTACTGTATTTTCTGCTTTCTCCGATATGTGTGGAGGAGTCTTCTATATCGCTAATATCAGACATTTTAATATTATAATTATCGAAGTTTAGCTACCTACGAAAATTTAATACGTTTTGACAACTAAAATAATTACATAGGAACCTAGGACAAACGTCAAACAGCATGCTTGATTGAAAAATTGTAGGTTTCTATTGATTAAAAATCTGTATCGTAATGAAAAATCTGTATCATAATGGGTATCATTATGAAACGGATTATGGGCATATAAGTGCATTATTATAATACGGGTGTAGAAAAAACATATTTTAGGACATTTGATATGGCGGATCATAATCTTTTATTTTTGAAGATGAATGGGTTAGGAATACGAGGGAAACCTTATGAACGGATACAGTATTACTTAATAAATCGAACTCAAGTAATTGTAATAAATAGTCTAAAATCTGATCGTGTTCCATGTACAATAGGAGTTCCCCAAGGTTCAATTTTGGGCCCACTCCTTTTTATAGTTTTTATAAGTGATATGAGTAATTTTTGTTTAAGCTCTCAACAAATAGTTCAATATGCCGATGATACCAATATTGTAATGGCAGATGATCAAATGAGTTTAACCAGTATTGTAAAGATAACGGTCTGGCATTAAATGTAACAAAAACAAACTTCATGCAATTTCTACCGAAAACATATTACCAGATTACGAATCCTACTTGCACGTTGACGGCAAAACTATTCAAAGCGCTGATGACATAAAATTTTTAGGAATAATATTAGATCCCAAAAAATGGTAACTTCAAAATTAAGTACTTGTAAATTTAAGGGAGACACTATCTTTTGATACTTTAAAACTATGCCATTTTGGTTTGGTTCATTCAACTCTACAATATGGGTTAATATTTTGGGGTTCTTCACCATACTTTGAAAGAGCTTTTGTAACCCAAAAGAAGATTCTGAGAGCTATGTATAAGGTGACACCAACATCATGTAAAGAACTTTTCAAGAAAACGCAAATTTTAACACTACCTTCCCTTTTTATTTTTCAACTAATTTTATACATGAAAGATAATGAGCATATATTTAAGAAAAATAAAAACCTACACTCATATGATACTAGATTAAAATTTAACATCAACCTTTTTCACGACTACAAATAAGCCAGCATTCACCAAAATATATTGGGATTAGTGTTACAATAAGTTCAGTAACATATTAGAAGATACTACAGGTTATCATCAAATTAGTCATAATGATTTAAGAAAACATCTTAATGATTTTCTTGTAAATAATGTATTTTATAGTATAGAAGATTTTTTGAGCTTTTAAACTAATCTAAACATGAATTATCTATCGGCACAAATTAAATGATCATTATTTAAATTTTATGGCAAGTACACTTTTCCATTATTTTATTTCAGTTGGTCAGTAAGATAATAAATGGTCAGGGAAAATAATAAATGGTCAGTATAATATTAAATGGTCGGTGAAAATATTAAATGGTCAGTATAATAATAAATGGTCGGTAAAAATAATAAATGGTCAGTAAAAATAATAAAATGTCAGTTAAAATAATAAATGGTCAGTAAAAATAATAAATGGTCAGTAAAAATAATAAATGGTCAGTAAAAATAATAAATGGTCAGTATAATATTAAATGGTTGGTGAAAATAATAAATGGTCAGTATAATAATACGCGTTTTATTTGTACATCGGTCTCCTTTTGACAGAGTAGGTGAGCTGTGTCCAGGCCGTTGGTGTTTATGCCTGTCGGCGTAGCCAGGTATAGATTAAAATTTTTTGGTGGCGAGAATTCTTTGCTTTGTCTTCTTGTCACGGCATTAATATTATTTGTTCATGTATGTGAAATTTGCTTCTATGGTTTATAAAATACTACTGCTAGTAAATGAAAACAAACAAGACGCATTCACACAAACATACCCACCACCTCAATTACAAATCATTAGTGTTGTCTCCGATACGCGAGTGTATTTTGGGGCAATTGGTTTTTGAAATATATCCTGACAGGCAGACTTGTTTTAAACAGAAAACAAAATCTTCAGTTTCTTCTTTGCTGCAAACCGGTAGCTCAAAAACATGAAACACTCGATCTAAAAACATAATACTACTTATTTAATGCACATTTTTAAAATTATTACCGACTGCTGCATACTGGCCATTTATTAATTTTTACTGACCATTTGTAGAAGTATTACCGGCTAATTCATACTGACATTTAATTAATTTTTACTGACCATTATAGTTACAAAAGTGAACATAGAAATACAGGCCAAATAATAATTTTACTGCTCCAAAATTCATTGTTTACTCATCATATTTTATAAAAGTACTGAGTCTTTTACAATATTTTACTGACTGCTTGTAATATTTATACTGTACATAATCAATTATATACTGTTCAGTTAATTACAACCCATTATCTATTATACAGTGAGCATCATACGTCTTACCCCCCCCCTATCTAACTGGAGGGGAGTAACCCTTTCGAAAAATTTAAATGGCATGAGGTGGTGAGTGATAGCTCATTTGAAACGGAGTTTTATTCTCTATTCAACCGTGCAAAAAATTTTGAAATTTGCTTCATTACGTGTTGATTTATTAATGTTTAAAAATAACATCACAAATAGGAAAGCAACTAAACAGTGACCTTATCTAATGGCAAAAAGTCTTACTTCACGTCTAAACCAAAACCGATATCATGCAGGGCCGAATTATAATTCTAAGGATGAGTTCGCTACGTTAATTTCCGTTATTCTGAAACAATAATTAGTCGAGAATTAATGAAGCAAATTTCAATTTTTTTTGCCAGGTTGAATAGAGAATAAAACCCCCTTTCAAATGAGTTATCACCCACCACCCCATGCCATTTAAATTTTTCGAAAGGGTTGCTCCCCTCCGATAAGGGATGAAATTAAGGGTACACTATTCATACAAAAATACATTGTAGAAATCAAAAATCGACGTGTCTCGGCGATTTTCCTAACAAGACTCCAGTAACAAGTTAGTTAGTAAGACTTTTGATGCTCACTGTATATATTTTATTTTATTAATGTATTTTACTTAACACTTTTTTGACTAGTCTGATAGGATTTTACATTATGTACCTAGTGTCTTTGTATAGTGTATAATTCTCAAAGATGAATAAATTATATTTCTACTTCGTTAATAAAAAGTATGAACAATATAGGTCCTATATGCAAGCTCTGTGGCCCTGTGTCTTTATATACCTAGAAATATGTCAGACAGTTAAACTGAATGAACCAACTCAGAACTAGAGTAGCTGCAGAAGAGATAAACTTACGAAATATACAGTGTGAAACAGCCAAATGGAATAAATTCGGTAATAAATAAATAGGGGCGTGCCACGTCGATTGGTATTTTTAGCCGTGCATTTTTTTTAACAAAAACTTTTTATACAGGGTGTGTCACATAACAGTGGAAAATACAAACTTTCTTATTTTAAATGCAACAACCCTGTATATTTTTCAATTTTTGGATTCTTCAAAAAATTCTAGATATATTTTATGTACTTTGTCCTATACCTGTTTCGGAAATATTAAATGTTTTCCGATTTATTGCAAACATTAACATTAACAAAATAATTGTTTGATTACAGAAATTCACTGCAACACACTCAATACTTATTTCCCATTTAGGTCTTGATAATGAGAAAGTAAGCAAAAACCATTTCAGTGTTTCTTTTTACTGATATGAAATATGACAACTACTGTCATGCAGTTAAATAACAATTTGCTAAGGTCAAGCATTTAAAAAAAAAAGTAAACAAAACTATTATTTAATTATAGCTTTTTTTATTTCACATTATTTATTATCAAGACCTAAATGGGAAATAAGTATTGAGTGTGTTGTAGCGAATTTCTGTAATCAAACAATTATTTTGTTATTGTTAATTTTTACAATAAATCGGAACACATTTAATATTTCTGAAGGCAATAAGAAAGTTTGTATTGGCAACTGTTATGTGACACACCCTGTGTAAAAAGTTTTTGTTAACAAAAATGCACAACTAAAAATACCAATCGACGTATCCGAGCGTTTTTTCGAACACGCCCCCATTTATTTATTACCAAATTTATTCCATTTGGTAGTTCCACATTCCACACTGTATAGTAGGTGACAGTTACTTTCCCAGCTAGCTGGGAAGTGAGGTAAGCAATAAGTCCCTTCTTGACTGTTTCGAAGAGTATAAACCCACAGATTACTAACCAATTGTAACTATATTTTTAATGTGTATCAAAATAGAACAAATACTTAGAGGACACTCCAAAAATTTGAAAAAGAAAATGCAATAAGCTGCAAGGAAGAAACTATATAAGCAACCAGGTGGTAGGTATATACTTGGAACACCCCACAAGAGGACACTGTCTCATCAAGATCAATTAATCAGTTTAAAAATCGGCTAGATGAAGAATTGATAACTTTCACATTCTAGTCGATTACACAGCACAACTTTTGTGATAAACTACTGTAATATGAGTTAATGTATTGTAATAAATGTTCTGTTTATGTGTTGATATGTAACTATGTTATAGTTGTGATTTTTCAATGCTAGTTGTTTCATTGGATTACTGATCTTTATTAACAATAATTATTATAACAGGGTGGGAGAGTCAGTGGTTAAAGTCATGACTCTGAGATCTAAATGACTCATGTTCGAATCCTACAGGTAACAGGATTTTTATTTAATTTAATGAATTATTTATTAATGCTAATGTATACTCAATCATTGACTGTTGGGTTCTAATCAACAGTGCTGTTCCTAAAGTGACACTAGGAAACAGTAACAAAGCTTACACAGAACAGGAGGCTAATAACCATAGCCATTGATTCAGATGACACGCAAGAAAACAGGATAATGTTAAAAACCAACAATAATACAATAATAATCAACACTGGACTAGATTACACTTTTTAAGAGTCTCCAAGGTTTTAAGAATTTAATATTGGACTACTAAAAGAGTTTTATTGTTCTTGAATTAATTCTATAACATTAGGAGTGTTTATGTTATTCAAAGTAAAGTTTATGCTTTAAAAAGTAAACAGCACAAAAATTCTTACCCAATGAAGCTAGCATGTCATGTAAATCTTCTTTGTCGACAAATCCATCATGATTTTGATCGATCATGTTGAAAGCCTCTTTGAATTCAGCAATTTGGGCCTGATCAAACATGGCAAACACATTGGATGTTGCCCTTTGGGCACGTTTCTTGGTGGTTCCGCGACGGCTTACAGTTTTACGTGAAGACATTGTCTGAAATAATAAAGAATGAGTAATATTAGGTAAAAATGAGTGCAAAACGGACAGTCACGTACTCGATTTTTAACAATTTTTGAGGTTAGAATTAGTATTAGTAATTTGTTATTTCGGTTTAAAGATTCATAATTTTTACTAAAATTTTAAAGGAATATGAATAAACACATTAAATTTTAATTAGTTCATGATTAAAATTGACATTTAATCAGTCAACGCCCAAAAGATATTAAACTTACCAATATTTTATTTTACAGAACAAGATACCGTTTTTATAAGTAGTTTTTCTAAAAAAACTACAAAGTTAAAGCTTATAAATTGTAAAAACTAAGAAAATATACAGAAAACACCCAGATGAGTCAACGTTGGAACTGGAATGGAACGAATATTTGTTTAGAAATTGTTGTAACGATTAACGATAACGAAACTGACAAGAGTACAAAATTCGTTTCAATACCAAATTCGATCATTTGCCAACAGCGCATACCAAAACTGGCAGTGTCTACTGATACGCTTTGAGGTGTTTTTCATGATTAAAAAAAGATTATTTTTTACATTGTGATTCTTTTTTGGTTCTATAAAGATTATTTCATAAATACTTTTTAACTGAAATATTTTATGAGGCTCAGTATTGGTGACACTAGTTTTATGTTTTTAAAATAATTTTACTGATAATCTTTAATATCACAGATAAAATACATGTCTTCCCGATAAAAAATTTCAGATATATTTGATTTTATAATTATGCGTAAAAACAACCAGTTTCATCACTACCACGCTTCAAAGCAAAAAAGCCACAGGTATGTAATAATCATTTTTTAAAACATGTATGATGAATAATTGATTATATAATTTGATACAAAATTGAAAAGTTGATGATGAATAATTGATTATATAATTTGATACAAAATTGAAAAGTTCCATCTAAAGCCTTGGTTTCTTTGAACACTCCGTCGCGGTGAGCGGACAGTCCGTCGACCGCTGAGGACAGCAATTTTCGCCCGAGGTGGTTTGTTAAAAAATATAGAACATGATACTTTCTCTAGGTCTGTACGTGCTGTTTATGTATTATGAATGTAAACGAAAGGTACTAAAATGGATGCAAATAAATTGTTTGCGTTGTTATTATTGTTGGAAGAGGAAGAACAAGAGGAACTGGCAATTGCAACCGTCAAAGTTTCCAATAAGCCAGTGGATGAGTTGTTTTTGTGTCGCGATATAGAAGGTGCCTTTAATATCATTGTGCAGCGGAGGTTTTTTGGAAATGAAACCAAATTTAGGGAGTATTTTAGACTTTCTACAGATCTTTTTGAATTCGTGTTGAGTTTTATAAAGGACATAATTTCCAAGAAATCTAAAAATAAAGTCATGATGTCATTTGTATGTGTGAATTTGTCACCCATTGTTTTAAAATTAATAACAATATAGTCTCCGCACACGCCGACGATTCCGCTGATATCAAACTCAACAGATATCAACCGACTCTTCGCGACAAATCAGCGGCATGACGCCGTCCTGCTCAGCTAAGCGGATTCAAGAAAACCATTCCCATTTAAATACTCTGGTTGGATAAAATCGTCAGAACGCGACGGTTGACGGACTGTCCGCTCACCGCGACGAAGTGTTCAAAGAAACCAAGGCTTAAGTAAATCGTAGTTGCAGAACAGAGAAAATGTAAATTTGTACAGCAAGTAAAAACTTCCACACTATTTTCTGTATCAACTACAATTGTGAAGTCCTTAGCTCTAGTAGTTTTTGTTTGTAGATTTAGAATGTAAGTGCATCACAAATATAATTTTGATTTGTTGGAAGCGACAATAAAACACTGCGGCAAGCAACATAATATTTTATGTATTCAGAAGTAAATGTTCCAAGTAACATCATTGTTCTAGTAAGATCATTGTTCTTCTATAGCTTTATTCGCGTTAAGAATCCTGAACTGATTCAGAACTATTAATTATTTTACTGAGCGCAGGCCCTATTCATTATTAATTCTGAATGTTTACAGTGCGCACAACCCCTAATGTATCTCGGTATTCCAGGTATAACACAAGCGGTTCAAAACTAATAATAATTTTGCCGCGAACACAGGATAGAACCAACAATTCAGTTCTTTTTGTTCCGCGAACGCTTTTTAACTACTGCGTATGCGAAATCGTTGCTGATAGTTCTGTTATAATTCGGTTTTCGATTCAGGATTCTTACCGCGAATGAAACTTAATCAAAATTTAGTTAACATTTAAATAAGCATACGCGTAACATAGTAGTGTATTATTTATATTTCCTCCTAAAATTTTTTACTAGTAAAATTTTGGATTTGAATTGGAGTTATAAATTTGTTGGGTTAAAATTGGAATAATTATGGCATTTTAATTTTAAATGTTACTATTTACTAATAAAATATTCCCCTTATAATAAGAAACACCATGTATATATGTTTCATGGAGTAACTCCATGTGTAATTTCCTCGTGGCAGAATTGATCAGTAGAATTTTTCAAAAACGGATTATTTCAGGTACTGGCGGAAATAGGCTGTCCCCAAAACCAAAAAATATTAGCCAATTTCATACTGTGTTAGCTTCTATTTCGAGTATACTTGCGTCCATTTTCTAAATTTGATATTGGAATTTTAAATCAGTTTCGCAACGATTTAGAATTTGCAAGTTAACACAAATTAGTGTGTCAAAGTAAAATCAGTTAATTTTTTTAAAAATAAACATAATTGTGAAATTGTTTGTTTTCTAGGTTCTTACTACCAAACGTTTCAGGTGAAACTGCGGCAGCCATCTTCAATGTTATATTTATATGCGTGTCTACCGTTCGCTTTTTTTGGCGTGAATGTGTATTAGGCGGTTTTATTTTCGTGCTTTTTAATGATGTGTGCCAGATCCTAGGCAATTTTGTTATTTCTTCTTTTCAATTGAAGTTCTTTTGATGTTTACGTATTTATATAGCCTCTATAAGTGCAATCTGGCCGAGTAATATCTGATGTTGCTTGTAGGTCGGTGTTTTCGAAAAGGATCTTGTGTTCTCCGTCGGACAATGTGTGTTAGGCAATTTCAGACTTTTCGGTTTGTGCTAAACGACAACTTCGTTTGTGTTCTGTTATTCGTGTACCAATACTTCTCTTTGTTTGCCCTATGTATATTTTCCCACAAGTGCATGTAATTCTACAGACTCCTGCTAATGTGAGAGAATATCTGCAGTCTTACGCTGTTTTGAGATATTCCCCTATTTTATTTGTTGGCTTATAGACAGTGCTGATTTTGTTTTTCATTAGGACTTTCTCAATTCGGTCGGTGACACTTTCTACGTACGGTAGATAGACAGTTCGTTTGTTTTGTTCTTCAATAGATTTGTTCTTATTCTCCATTGGAGGATTATGTCTTTTTTGCTGTATCCGTTTGCTTGTTGTCAGGTGTTTCATTTTATCGTTGATGTGTCTTAGTCACATTTCTTTAACGCTCTGTAAGGTGTTGATAACCGTGCGCTTCTATTTTATGTATGCATCGATCAGTGTGTGGCTTGTTTTTGTATGCTTTGAGGCCTAGTTTTATTGTCTTTTCGGCTGACTAACACATCTAGGAAAGGAATTTGTCGGTTTTCTTCTATTTTCATGGTGAACTGGACTTTATGATGAAAACTGTTTAGATGAGTTAGGAAATTCTGGAGGTTTTTTCTCCCGTGCCTCTAGATTACAACTGTGTCATCTACAAACCTCAGCCAATATTTCGGTTGTTTCCAGTAGTGCGGATAGCTCTCGTTTCAAATTTTTCTATGTAAAAATTGGCCACAACCGAACTGAGGGTACTGCCCATGGTAACTCCGCCAATTTTTTCATAGAATGTTCCACTAAAAATATGATGTGAGCGAGTGTCGAAAAAGGTTGATGAGCTCTGGAAAAACTCCCCTATGTAGCTGACTGACTACTTCTTCGAGTGGCACATTTGTGAAAAGATGATGTCAAAGCTGATTAGGATGTCGTTAGGCTGTAAGGTTATACTCTTTAGGTGTTCGATGAAGAGCGTAGAGAATCGCATGTATGTTTTTGTCTTGCCCACGTGTGTTTGCACAATTTCCAGCCAGATGTTTGTTCAGGTTGTAAGTAAGACCACGGAATAACAGCCCGAAAACAAACAATTACATTGACGCCGGCCCTGAAAGCCTACATTCTTACATAATAAATGAAGTCGTGCTTTAATCCTTCCGATTTTCTTCGCATCGAGTGTAAAAAACCTTCTGCATACTATTATACACTGGGGGCTATATACTATTGATAATATGGATTAGACGGCCTTCAAAAAGATACTTATAATCTGAAAATATATACGGAGGTTTTTCAATATATTTTATTTAATTAAACATTTTTCAATTTCAAATTAGTAAGTATATATCTCATCTGTTTTAAGATAATGTCAGGCAAAGATTGTATAACATGTATACTAAATAAAAATATTAAACAAATGCACGCCTTTGAATTTGTATTGTAGATGGTAGAATTCTAGTAACGGTGGTAATCTACCAATCCAATGGCAGTGGGCGCCCCGCTATTGATTACGTGATTGGCCTATGCTTGATGCAAACGATTTCTACTTATCATTATTAACTTTATTATTATATTATACATAAACAAGAAACACCATCCATATTATTATACTTTTTGGATTCTCATCGGAGAACTGGTTTCAACAAAATATACCTACGTATAAGGGCTGGCCCGACGAGAAGGAAAGGCAGGGGAAAACCACGGGGCTCGGTCCCAGGGGGAGCCGGGCAGCTTTAGAGAGTCACCGCTAGTCGTATAATAATAGAAGAAAGAATTAAATTTTTTGTGAATTAGGAATTTAGAAACCGTCTTGATTATTGCCAGGAGGTCAACCGCATGTACTTTGACCATTTAATTTAATTTTTAAATGTATTAGTCCAGTCCTTTCAGTACAATTTTAAGATTCCAGTTCTTTCAATACAATTTTAAGATTCCAGTCCTTTCAATACAATTTTAAGATTTACAATTTCTGATTTAACATTTGTCTCGAATTCACAAAGCAATGATTTTGGACTTATGTATTACATACATTTTTGTAATTGTCTATTTTTGGGGAAATGAAAAATTATGAGAAAAATATAAAAAATCAATGACGTTAAGTACACCAAAGTGGTATCGTCAGTAGTACATCTAATTTGCTATAATTAGACGCGCAGTTGAAACTTAAATGTGACCTGTGAAAACATTTTGTTAAAATACTGTTAGACACTTGGTTAGACAGAAAAATGTCGAAGAAGTACCTAACAATAAATAACAAAATGTGTATTTTTTTTTTAATAAAAAAATACATTGCTGTATGCATCATTCTCTTTTCGGTTATTTGGAGATGCCAGATCTGTAGTTACGTTTTACGTTTTATCAACCTATATAAACGTTAAAATTCAGTCAATACTTTGTTTTTATAGATTTTGTTAGCACGCTTTTATCAAAAGAACTGTA